ATGGTGCTGGGGGAGGGGCAAAAGTTTTGGGGCTTTTTTGATTCCAGGCATCAATCACCGCAATTTGTTTACAAAGCATTCTTATTTGATATAAGTATAACCATACAAATGTTTGAAGTTTGCTCCATCTTATATCTCAAATACCAAAAATACTGGATCCGTCTTTTGTGCTGTACTTCTTGAGTCCACATTTTCAAAAGGATCACATAAAGATTTGATTGCCGCTACACATTTATCAAACTTGTTTTTTAACATCAGCATGCATTATGTGCTCTTATCAATAGCACGATATTCAGATTTGCACTCTCGCGTGTTGTTGATAGCTTTTAGACTGAATTTGCAATTAAATTATCCCAAATATTAGCAAAGAAGGAATACATTCTTTCAAGTTTTTGAAAAATGTTATAGATAAAGCATTTTCAGCAAAAGATTGTTGACCACTCATGTTAACCGAAAGTTAAGAAAATTTCTTATTCTTTCTTTTTAAAATGGTCTGAACAACCTGATGAATTCCAGACATTATGGCAGCATTGTTATAATTTTGAGCTCTACACATCAATATGTCAAGTCTATCTCTTTCTAGATTTTTTGAAATTTTAGAACTAAGGTAATTTTTTTTTTTTTAACTTTCCCATCTTTTGGTGTCACCCATCTGTGTCAAGTTGTTGGAATACTGTGTCAAATAAAAACTTATTCAAAGTTAATTCGAATTTGCAAAACATTTCAATTTCAACAAAGAAAATTTATAATTAATAAGCAAAAGTAAAAATATTTGACTAGATTAACAGTGATTATGACTAGACAGTGATTATTCATAAAATCATAAAGAAGAGGTCTTTGTAAAGTTTGTCATTTTTCTAATTCAAGCATATTTTTAATGATGTGCGGTAGTGTTGGGGAGAAAAGAACATAAAAAGACGCTTTTTGAAAAAAATACCGCAGCTTTTGTACTGTTTGATAAAAATGTGTAATTTTTGTTGAAAAAGATAGTTTAGTTAATATTATTTAAAAAAAAATGCAAAACCCAGCTAGTTCAAATAAGTTATAGTTGCTATTTCTTAAAAACAAAGCTACTTATTGTCTAAATTTCAAAAAAAGGGACAGTTTTGGAAAATATTAAGTCATTTTAGGAAATATAATAAATCGAAAAATATAACAAAACTAGAAGATTTAACAAAATTAAACTAATAAAAATAAGAAATATAACAAAATTCAAATACCACCCAATCAGTCTCATTTCATATACATACCTATGAACATACACATTAGCCAATCCCATAATTTTTTTTTTGACAACTAAATTTCATGCGCATTGGCTAATAAATAGCGTAGAGGTCATATTTATATGTAAAATTTTTTTTTTTTTTTTTTTTTTTATCAATAGAAGTATTTGGGTCAATTGTTCAAAGTTACGCTTTTGACTAAAATTAGATCAATTTACAAGCATTGGCGCCAATAGATTCAAATCCAGTTAATTTATTCAACGATATTTATATAATGTGCTCCTGTACTAAAAAAACTGTGCTTAATAATTTAAGAAATATGTTGTACCTATCTTTCACTTAATACGGTCGAAAAATTAAAACTTTGGCTATTGTAAGGTGATTGTTTGTTAAACTTTAAGCTTTTTCTCAGTCATATGACAAATTTTATGATTTTTTCCTCATTTCTGTATCAAATGATGTTTTTATTTAAAAATACTATTACTGGAGCTTTGGATGAAACAAATTCAGTTCCGAAATGGTTTCCTCAAAAGATTGGGTAAAGGACTTTCGATTTTTTGGAGTAAACAAAACTAGATCAAAACGTATTAGTGTGATTCAAAAATATATATATATACATTTTTTCAGTGGTTATTCTAGGTTTTCCATGAAGACCTAATGGTCGCATCACAGAGCACCGCAGAACAGCATTTAACTTGGAGGTTTACGCTTACTTTATGTCAAATGCCTAGAGTAGGCATCAAACCACAGATTATTGAAGAATCCAGCATTTTTCGGTGTTTGAGATAGCTAACAGCGCAAGCTCCAAACATTTTTATGTTTTTACTTATGTCAAATAATAAGGCTTTGCAAAATATTGCGATGATTGGAGGCTGGGAACAAAAAAACACTAAATTTTTATCCCCCCTGCCCCAAACGTGAGAGCAACAAGTTAGTAAAATAATTTTTTTGCTATTTTTATCTAAATTTATATTCATCGATAAATTTTAAGTTTTATAGCATTATCTTTCAGCGTTCATAAATTATGACTATTTAAAGTTTAATCCCCTCTCAATTTGAGGAGGTTACAAATTTATATGGTCATAATTTTTGAACGCTAAGAGCGTATTGTAAAAGTATTCTAAAACATTACTTAAAACTCATTAGTGTATATAAATTTAGTTAAGAATACCAAACAAATTATTTCATCAAGTTGCTGATCTTACGTTTGGGGCAGGGGGATAATACTTTAGGGCTTTTTGTTCCCAGCCTCCAACCATTGCAACTTTTTAAAATGCATAACTGTTTGACATACAAATGATTGGATTTTTCTCCATGTTTGCTATCTCAAACACCATAAAAAGCTGGATCCGTTACTGCTACAGGTCTCTCTTTTCTGAAGCAAACTTGCCTAAGAATTCAGCATTTAAACGCTGCAAATTTACAACAAATATTTATATACATATAAATTTTTCAGCTCAAGACAAATATCTCATGAAAATTTTTATAAAAATATTTTTAAAATGTACTTTTAAGGTTCAGAGTTTGCAGTTAGGTATTGGATCAAAATTCAAATTATTAGAACCATTCAATAACGAGAAAGCGAGAAAGCAATCACCGTAGCTAGCTTCTTGAATCCACTCTTCTTCTTTTTTAATAGTTCTTTACAAGAACTCTTTTTTTGAAGTAGCTTCTGAAGATTCTTCAAGCTCAGCAGGCGCTCTATATTATCTTATCAATAGATTTACGATTTTGCTGTGAGTTCTGATGACTTGTTAGCGACTTTGAATAATTTAAAAAGTTTTGAAATTTGCAGTATCCAAAAAGTCCGAGGGAGTCTCATCCGTAAGCATTTTTTCAAACTATGACCTGAATATCGAAAATTAACCACTAGTCAGGTGAAATATACAACTCAAGACGTAATGGCTGGTTTTTATCAAAACTGCTTTCAGAAGAATTTCAGTTTTGATTCATTTATTAAATGCATTATTTTGATACATCTTTTTGGATCTCTGTTTATTTTTGAAAAAAGGACTTTTTACCATTTTCACATTGTGATCTCGGTTTAAAGATGCTAACGCCAGTTAGCATCTTTTAACCGAGATCACAATGCTTTGAACTATCAAAAATTAATTGCCTAAAAAGTTGCATAATCAGAAAAGTCGCAGGTCAAAAACTGCGATGCCCTGGAAAGAGAAATGTAGTCAACTATTCGATTGATCTCTTTATGTATTTTATTACTCAAAAAAAAATTCTGCCTAATTTTCGAGCAATGCAACTTGAACTTCATGAAATTCAAGACATGTGAATTAGCTCCATATAGCCAATTGTTTGCAGATGCCTATAAAAACTCAAAAAATGTAAAAATTTTAAACTTTAAAAGAGTGGCGCGAGTATAAGTCACCCAAAATAAAAAATAAAAAAATTTCATGAAGAAAACAATACCTTGGGAATATTTTATGACACTCCGCGTATTAAAATTTGTTCATGAGGGTCAAAATGGGATGGACTAAAACATAATAAACATATCCCTTTCACTAAAAATGTAAAAAATAAATTCCTTGGAGTAGTAATCAGTAAGTAATACTTACGTTTAAAAATTAAACTAAAATCTAAATATCTTCCTGATAAAATGTTATTTACATGCGAAATTTCCAGTCAACTAATATGTTTAATTTAGTTGATAAGTTTGTATTTTTAAAAATTTTTGCATTGTCCTAAACTACCCCTGTCCTAAATTGCCTCCCTTTCCCTTAACCGGTAAAATGCGTTTATAAACAAATATGTAGTGCATAAAGATACAAAAATATGAAATATGTGAACAAAATTATCGTTACCAAAAGTACCAAATTTTTTTAAATTCATTAGCTTTTAATAACTAGTTTGAAAGAATTATGTCGCCAAAGCTAAAAAAGTTAAAATAAAATAAATAGATAAAAAGATAAAAAATAAAAGGGTTCTAATTTGCTACAATATATCTACTCAACTTAATGTTATTGTTTTTTTGTATAATTACCTCTCAATATTAAACATCTTACACAACCCTTAAATGTTTGTTTTTTTAGGCTTATTAAAATGGTCTAAATAATATTTTTGTCGGAGTGGAAAAGAACACCAGAAAGTTTATCATTTTGTTCTTGCCAAAGCAGTACTTTTCGTAACGACTAAAACAAGTTCTTGATTTTTTAGTACCTATAAAAAAGAAGAACTCATTATTATTAAAATGTTTTTGAAGTTGTTTTTAAAATTGTGGAGATTAACATTGGGAGGTATAGCCACTTCTTGATAGAATGAAAGATTGAGAAACCAGCGATGGTTTGAATGCTTTCAAATTGAAAAAACTTCACATGTGGCAAAACCAAAGTTAGTTAAAAAGAAATTAACTTATATGCAAGCAGAAAAAAGTGTTTCTTGATATGCGACTAGGGTTACCAGACGTCCAGCTTTTATGAAGAAGAATACTGTAAAAAAAATCATTTTTATAGGTTTGGCGCTGCATTTTCCTCCGTAAAAGCCGGACGTCTGGCAATCCTATATGCGACTATATTTAAACAAAGAGTTATAATTATATCTCATGCTTGTGCATGCGCGTAAATGTTTAACTTAATTTTTACATTTTATTTAAAAATTTCAATATGCTTCATCAGTAAATATTACATTAGTATAATTTATAAATGTTGAAACAAAATCTCTATTATTTATTTTCTTTTCCTTCGTACGTAAAACTAAAGAATTCCTATTGTTAAATAATTAAGCTGTACTTTGTATCTTTTCATTTCGAAAACTTTTTATTACTTCTAATTTTTTTATTTTTTGGTTTGAAAGAAATGTTATCTCAAAAAAACTTGTCAAGAATCTCAAATGGTTTACAAAGTAGTTATAGTAGACAAAAAGTTTCAACAGTTGAACTTGATGGTAAGAAATAAACATTATTACATTTTATACGCAAAAACGATTTATTTTTTGTGGATTTTGCTTGTTATATTATAGAAAATCGTCGATATCATGGTGATAGCTTCGAAAGAAAAGAACCATGGAGAGACTTTTTTGAAAAACTCATCATAGCAGGCGAGGTTGACAAAGAACTTGAGAGAAGAAAAAATGAAGAAATGTTAAGAGAAAAACAAAAAAAAGAGCATCTCAATGTCTATGTCAAAAGCGTAATTAATAAAAATGATTTTTATATTAAAGAAGTTGAGGCAAAATGTTCAAGCCTAAAAATAATTGATTCAAAGAGAAATAATGCAAAAAAAACTGATGTAAAAAAAACACCAAACAAAATAAAAAAACAAGAAGTAAATAATTTTAAAACTAATAATAGCTCTAAAGATCTAAGCAAATACCTTAATAATATCGGCTACGAAAAAAATAAAAAATGTAATGGTCTGACAAGTAAAAATTTAAACAATAAACTTAGGAGATACAGTGCTGAAAAGATTATAAAATACGATATTAAAAGTTATAACACAGTTATAAACAATCCTAAACCGTGTAATGAAGCCGACAATGAAGGTAATGAAGCCGACAGTGAAGGTAATGAAGCCGACAATGACTGCATTAGTCATGATAAAAGTAAAAAACAAAAGACAACAAATAGTAAAACAAATTCATCAACTGAAACTTTCAAAAAGCAAAATAAAAGTCAAGAGAAAATTATAAAAACTAACAGTAAATACGACACTAGCAGTAAAGATAACACTAACAGTGAAAACGACACTTACAGTGAAAACGAAACTAACAGTGAACACGAAACTAACAGGGAACATGATGCTAACATTAAACACGGTATTAACAGTGAAAACGACACTAATAGTAAACAAGGCACTAGCACAAAACACGTCACTAACAACAAACACAACCTTGAACTCGATAATATAGAAGATAAGAAAGAAAAATCTAACATTCAACGAGAAAGTATAATAGTTGAAAATAATTTTAGAGAGACAGATTGTAAATTAAACATTGAGAATGAGAAACTAAACATGTTAGACACAAATAATCAATGTATAAATGAAAAATCTACAGATAAATTATGCATAAATGAACAATGTAAAAATAAAACATGTGCAGAAAAACAATATGCAGAAAATAAGCAAGAACTGTGCGAAGAAGAGTTTGAGAATTTAGTACGACGACATACAATACGTCAGTTAGTAATACAACAAGAAGAAGTTAACAACCTAATAGATGAACTCAATGTTAAAGTTTAATATAATTTTGATTTAAACTTAATGTGATTATTAAATTGACGATTGTAGAAAAGACTGTTAGTTTATCTCATGTTGATAATTAAAATTATAATCTAATAAACGAGTAATTTCATGTTAACTCAGTACATTTTTCAAACCATTTTAACAATAAATGTTAGTTTATTTGAAATTCTGTTTGGTTGAAAAACATAATGAATAAATTATCTTGACCGAACCTGGACATCCTATTCAAAGAAGTTCTCAAGATAAACAACTTTTTAATACTTTTTACGGCAGGTTTACATTGTAATTAAACAACTAAAATAATTAATCTGCAGATAAAATCTGGTTGGAAATGAGCTAGAGACTAGCTAGCAACTAGCAAATTTTTTTTCTCACGCTATTTTTATTATTGAATCTAAAATATTTATGATAATAATTGAACTTGTAAGATTGTGATTTTATGTCGCTCTCTAAATACCGCATTTTTGTTGCAATTGATATTACTACAATAAATCGTTAGTTAAATATTGTAACATTATAGCTACAACTAGCTACAACTTAACATTAAATCTGTTGGCCGTTGATGGCTAAATATCTCAGAATTTTAATTAGTGATATTACTTCGATATATAATATATATATATATATATATATATATATATATATATATATATATATATATATATATATATATATATATATATATATATATATATATATATATATAAACATATATATATATATATATATATATATATATATATATATATATATATATATATATATATATATATATATATATATATATATATATATATATATATATATATATATATATATATATATATATATATATATATATATATATATGTTATATATATATATATATATATATATATATATATATATATATATATATATATATATATATATATATATATATATATATATATATATATGTATATATATATATATATATATATATATATATATATATGATATATATATATATATATATATATATATATATATATATATATATATATATATATATATATATATATACATATATATATATATATATATATATATATATATATATATATATATATATATATAAACATATATATATATATATATATATATATATATATATATATATATATATATATATATATATATATATATATATATATATATATATATATATAATGATGTTTATGATAGCTGACTTCCAGACATGGTAAACATTGTAAATGTTTGAAGCTTGCTCCAAGTCTGAAAGTTAGCTATCCCAAACTTTAAAAAATGCGGCATTCGACGTGGAAGAAGGAGGGGGGTGGGTGCCATTACAACTTTTGCCGACTAAAAAAAAAAAAAAGTCTTCGTTTTTTAAAATTTGCCGACTTCCCTCTGACTGCCATAACGACATTTGCCGACTGACTGTCTAAATTTACCGACTAATCTGTCGAAAGGGTCTACATTTGCCGACTAACTAGTCAAAAAGGGTCAAATTTGCCAACTAAAATCATTAACGGGGGGGGGGGGGTCACACCCCCACAAACCTCAATCGCGCCGATCTTGCTAGCGACCATATATCAATAGCCACAAAACTTTGATTTGTTGCTAGCTTTTACATAACTACAATTTTATAACTACTATCTATAGCCAATAGCTGTAGCGATATGCTTTTACATTAAGTTTTACATAAGGTTTTACATAAGGTTTTACATTAGGAGCACTCAGGAAAAAAAATAAGGAATTTAAAAAGCCAAACCCTCTAGATATGAAGCAAATATCTTTAACCTAACTCCCAAAGTATTTAAGCACCATTGAATCCACTCTTTTGTTGCCCTCAAGGACATATTTAGAATAGAAAGGTCCTTAAAATGAATAAAAACGGCTTGTTTTAAGGGTGAAATATAAGGTGCTGATTTTTTGCCACAACTGCAAATAGCTTGCCAAATCAAGACTTTTTTAGCAAACTTGTCATGTTTTATGTATTTAAAATTCTTATCTGCTTTTCCTCTACATTTGGCAATATAATAAACGCCATCAGGAATTTGCAGATGATCGTACTTGATATAAGTTTCATCGTCTTCAATATAAGTTTCATCGTCTTCAAATACAGAAATTTTTAGAAATAAAATTGTCATACAACTTTCTGCAGCGGGTTTTTGCACTTTTTTGTTGAGTTTTAGATCGGTTGGGCACTTTTTGTGCTTTAAAAGAATGAAAACCATATTTATTTCGAACTTTTACAACAAAACTATGAGAAAGTCCATAAATGTTTGCACGCTGCCTTAGTGAAAGACTTGGTTTAGTCTTAAAACTGTTAACAGTTTTTTAACTAGTTTTTTATCGTAAAAACCCTACTTTCTTCCACCACTAGATTTACGTTTGATCGATTTTGTTTGAGAAAAACGTGGATTACACGACTAACGTTGTATTTGCAATACTTTTGCTATCGAATTGTAGCTAATATTGGTATTTTTTCAAACATTTGTGCATAATTTTTTCTCTTATGTCTTCTTCTTTTGTCATGTTTAAAACTAATTTTAAGTTAAATCAAAAAACTAATACATTTTTTAAAAACCAAAACACGTTGTAAAACCACAACACGTTGTAAACAAAATACAAAACAATTAAAAAGATTTTAATAAAACCACTGAAAAATCAATATTTCTGTATTTGAAATGTAACAGTCGTATATAGTTTAAATTTTTACAACCTTTAAGAGTATATACTCCTGGAATTATGTCCAAAGATTCAAAACTAAAATTGAGGCTTTTCGACTAATGTTAAAATTAGCTACTGCATCGTAAACTTCAAATTCTTATTGACTAAATGATACAAATTTCGTTTTAGGTAAACGCTCCCAGATAGTGCAATTAAAACTTTCATTAGTATTTTGAGCCTTACCACGTAAGCACTTTTCTAAATGTTGGTAAGCACTGAGTTCTGCAAAGATTGGTTTGATTTTATAAACAATAGATATTGGTAAACCTGGTCCAGGCTTTTAAGTACTTGTTCCATTGGCTTTATCCGAATTATATTTGCACCAACTATCCGCCTACTGGGCAATGTGGAAAATGTAGATTATTCTCCTCTTTAGAGGCAACATGATAAAGTGATGCCAGAGTACCAGCTTTCATAGATGGTAAATCTCCTACATTAGCTCTGATCGTAATACCAAAATAACTTTGCTACCGATCAATTGTCGCATCCGTTAATTCACCTCTACCACCAAGGTTTTTAGTTTTTTTCTTAAACTTTCCTAATCTTGTACCTACACGTTTTTGTAAATGTCCAACACACTCAAGGTTTTTTACTTCCAAACCAGGGCAGACATTCATAACATTTAAATAGCTCTTACTGTGCCCATCACCTAAATAGTTTACATAGCGAAGCTTGCGTTCTGTAATAGAACGTTCAAATATTTTTTTCATACCCATTGGCACCCATTTGTAGTCATATGCACACTTATGTAGGTTCCTCCACTCAGCAAAATGTAAAGGTTCACTTTTCTTTTTTGGTTCCATTAAAGTACAAGCTTTACAAATTCTACTCATTGGTTCTACGTCCAATACCTTTCCACTATCAATAGATATTGCAGTCATTACGCCATTATATGATGAAAAACCTCGTCGTTGCCATGTCCCATCACATAAACCACCAGTATCAACAATATCAGTATTCGAATTGTGTCTGATTTCCGCAGCAGCATCACGCATAATTTCTATTGCTACTTTTTTCACAACTTTAAAGATTGTTTTAGCAAGCTTGTCGTAGTTATTTCTATTAAAGAAGTGAATTTTTCAAGTCCTGCGTGACCATGACCCAACGACCGCATTGTGTAAATAGCTCGCTTATTTATATCGTATCCCTGCTTACCACTTCTTTTTGAAGTACAAAAATTTTTATGAAATAAGCAATCTGAACATTTTAAAACAAAAAAAGAGGCAAGTCCATGTCGATTTTTTAAGTTGTCAGACAACACAAGAGAGTCTTCATTGAAGCACATTGGACAAATGAGTTCTTTAAAAATAATAGATAACACTTCTATATCTATAATTCTATATCCAGACAGCAGAGTAGAAAATTCAACTACATCAATTTGTCGTATTTTTGAATGTTGCTGGAATATTTACGATATTATCAGAAGCATCATTTTTATTTTCATCCCTCAGACAGTGAATCACAGTGTCATTAATTAAAATATTTACAATTGGATTAGATTCTTTATTTACACTATCAACAACAACTTCTTCATAAATTAATGATTTTTTAACTGGAAAAGATCTACACCTTTTCCTAGCAAGATTAGTTCGACGTTTTACTCTACAACTTTTTGGCATTCTTGTTAAATTAAATAAAATTAATCTGAGTGTGTTTTGTTTCCTTATCTCGCTTACTTTTGTTTAGCTGAACAAGAAGTATAATAGAATAAAGCATCCTAACCCAAGTTAGGCATTTTACATCAGCTTTTTTTTTTTTGTTTTTTTTGTTTTCAAATACGGCAAAAAAATTACATTTTCAATATATCGAAACATCAACTCACAATTAAAAACCTAAAATTTCTGCACTTTAGAGTGATTTTTATAAAAAACAAATTACATAAATGAAATCTATGGTAATTTTTATGTCTAAAACCGGTCATATTAAATTTTTGTTTTTTTGATGATTTTAGGGGAAGTTTCCCCCTTAATATGCCTGGAAGAATATGTATTTTTAAATAGCCAATCCATTACAGTAATATAAAATGATTATTATTATTATTATTAAAGATAATTGTGCGCTAAAATAAAAATACTGAGGGTCACTGCGTTCCCAAGAATCATTTTCCTTGCCACCCCTTCTCCTTCTACACAACTCAATAATCCCCCACAGTGGCCAGTCTAGCCAAAATAAATGTAAGGGTACCAGTCTTGCCAAAGTAAAAGGTAAAGCGGCCGTGGCGCAGTTGTTACAGCGCGTGTTTTTTAAGCAGGAGAAACGAGCTTGGACATAATTTCGAAACAAAAATTTGTCCAAGCTTGTTTCTCCTGTCAGGTTATATGTCCAGGTTTGAAACGAGCTATGGACATAATTTCGCGTCACGGTAAGGAAGAAGACGTGAACTTCCAGTTTAAATGCACAAATGTTTTCTTTTTCAAATTTACATAATTTTACAATTTACACCCGTGCGGTGTATCGGCTGCACCAATGTAGCTTTAGTCCTAACATTTTGTCCCAATTTTTATAGACACTATCTTATCCCTCTTTTATTTATTTCATTTTTGAATTATTTTTTTTATTTCATCATTTGAAATAAGTTTTACAAAGTTTTACAATATAACAATATTAGTTTTTGTAAAATTGATTTTGGAAAAACTAAAATTAAGAAAAAAAAAAAAAAAAATTAAAACATATATAAGTCTTATATATATATCTTGTAATAAGATGATATATATATCTTATAATAAGATATTAAATAACTAAGCCTTAGTTTTAAAACCTTTATTTAACCTTAGTTTTAGGTTAAATAAAGGTTTTAAAGTAAGTAAGTAATTGTTTAAAATCAAAATCGAACATGTGTTGTTTTATTGCACGTTTAAAATGTAGGATAGAAGTTATAGTCATTATTGTACTTGTTAAAATTGAGTTCCACAATCGTGGCTCTCAGTTATATAGGTATATTATATATATATTATAGGTATAACAAAGTTGTTTATTGAGTATTTTGTCTAGTACTTGTGGTTTATAAAAGCAAATTGATATTTGAAAGTGTTTAAAAGTAAGAGATTCTTTAACTTAAACATAAAAAGTAGTATTTTAAGAATATTTATTTCAAAGACACAAAACACTTCAAGTTCTTTTTGTACAGGTTTGGCATTGGTATAGACTATACCAATGCCTATACTATAGTCTGTTTGCGTTTAATATTAGGCGACGTTTTTGCTTTTGTAAATTGTTTTTGTTTTTGTAAATTGCATTTAACTTTGTTGGATAAGTACTTGCCCAGATTATGTTACAGCAATTGATGCTGTTGTGAATAAAAAAGAAATAAATATTTTAAACAAATTGCATTAAGAAGATGCTTAGATTTATACATAAGTCCAATAATTTTAGATATTTTCTTTTCAAGTTGATTGATTTTCTTTTAAGTTCAACTTGCTCTCCGCGCAGTGGCCTTGTTAATCAAGGTTCATGTTTTGGAGTTGATAGAGTGTTGTAACCACAGTAGCCTCCTCGACTGTAGTGGTCTTCATGGCCTTGGTGAATTCAAATAAAAAAAAGTTTAGTTTTGTCGGTATGCAGTTCAGGAAGTTTTAAGAAAGTGTTTCTGAATCAGAAGATTTTGTTAAAAGAGTATATTTGCTTTTTTTCTACATTTATCATAAAAACTCTCTAAAACCAGATATCTTTTTTTTTTTTTTGCAAATTTGAAAAGGTTTTAGTTTTAAATATTTATTCTACAATTAATACGCTATAATCAGGTCATTAAAACATTTCTTATTACATGTGCATACAATAGACTTAAACTACTAAATAACTTAATTAAATTAAATTAACTAAATTAAATTAAACTAAATTACTTAATTAAATTTGACTACTCACTACTTTTTTTAAAAAGTAGTGAGATAAAAATAATCTTTATAACTCCGAAACACAAACCTTAATGAACAAGGCCGCTGCGCAGAGAAACAAGTTAAGTTATTTTATATAAAACTTCTTTCTTTTTTTTTTAATATACAACTAACTTATAAAATAAAACCATTTCAAATCTTAATTGCAAATGATGACATTTTCTATACAATTGTTATTTCAAATTTTCATAGTTTAGATTAGTAAACAGTAATATATCTTGTTTGTTTTTTTCATAGATATAAAAATGAGTTTTAGAAAAAAAAAAGTTCAACCAAATATACAAAATTCAAAAAGAATAAATAGTGAAACTGTTGGTAAGTTCATCATTTTATTAATTAAAATCCAAAGGTAAATTAAAATAAAATATAATAAATAACAGTTTAACCCCCTTCCATCCTTTCTCATTTAAGATCTTTTTATGATGGCCCTGACCATGATTATATCCTTAGTTTATATCCAACTGAACTGAACCCAAATTGAAACTTTAGCTAAACCAAAAACAAGTTGAATCTTTTCAAACCATACTTTAAAAGGGTTTCTTATCTCTAGTGTAAAGTTTAACTCTATAATTTGATTTTTATCAAATTGAAAACTGCTTTAAAAAAGAAATTCTCCGTAAAATGAATATTTAAATTCCATTTAATGAATGTAAAAAATTGCTGTAATATCTGCTAATAATATATTGAAAAATCACAAAAAGTATATAATACAATACAAAAAATCTTCACAATTTTTTATATTTTATGACAAGAGCTGCAATTAAAATTCAAAATTAATCCAAATTCATTTTTAATTTTTTATTTGTTTTAAATAATTAAAAAAATTCTTTCAACTTCAGTTTTTGTTTTGAGACAGGACAAAATAAATTGAGCAATATTAAATAACTTTTCAAAATATTTTCATTTTTTAAATGGTTTGACACGTATTAAACATTGTGGCCACAGTCCTGCAATGTCCTGGAATTGTATTTTTTTTAGTAAATTGTAAAGTTGGATATTTTTTTGTTCAGCATACTCCTATAAATGGATATACAACTCTTTGGGATGTCTGCATTGTATTGTTATGCTTATCTCATGGCCAGGCTGCCATTGAACGCTGATTTGAAACAAATAGATTGTTTAATTGAAAATTTAGGCAACAACTCTCTAATTGTCTTAAGAATAATAGAGAAATGTTAAATCCTGTTAAATTTTCTAGAAGGTGATTAATTTGCATTGAAAATTGCCAAAAAAGTTATAGAATAGTCAACTGTAAGTATAAAAATTTCTGTTTCTGTTTTAATTCGTGACATTGTTTGAAGAAAGAAAATACTTCAAGCATCAGCTATTGATTGAAAAATTTAGGCAGATAGTTACGCGCTAAAAGCAGAGGAAATAAAGAAAGTTATCAAAAAATAAATTTTTAAAACTAGAAGAACTTGATAGTTTAGGGCATTTCCATTTCTGTGCGTGATTTTTTATTTTTCTTTGTTTCAGCAATTAAAAGCTGGGAGTTTATGCAATATGCATACTATTTTGATTTTCTTAAAGAACAATTATAACAAAAATATTTTTATCATATTTTAGGCTATCTGAATAAAATAAAATTGTAAAAATGTGTATATACACATTTTTACAATTTTATTTTTTTGAGTAATAATATCGCTAGATTTTAAAAAATATACAATAACTTTCAAAACCCAATACTCTAGCTAGAAATAACTGATGACTGCCATTTCTTATCAAAAATATATTAAATAAGAGTCGTAGAAGTATAATATTTCACTTGAAATACTCACAAGCAATTTATTTTCATAAAAATAACTACATGAAATTGACAAATTCGCAATATCTGTGCGTGACTTCCGTGCGTGATCATTCATAAACTGCATTTAAACGATTGCTGTGACTCTATGATTTATAGTGCAATCTTGTAACTTTCTGGAAATCTTAACTAATGTTTAAAATATTATTTAAAAAAAAAAGTATACCGGTGAAACTTATGTTTTCTGAGGAATTAAAGTTTATTTATCTAGTAACTAAAATAGAAGTTTTTCTGTTCCGTGCGTGATTCCATTTCAAACTTTATTTATTCTTTGTTAACATTACTAATGCTTACTATTTTTTGTTTACAAAATATTTATATTGATTAGAATTAAATGAGAGTAAATTGGAGATTGCTAGTTTCATTTTTATGAAAATAAAAGTAAAAACATATATGAATTTCCGTGCATGATTTTTTGGAAATGCCCTTTAGCTTTATGTTTAAAAACATACTTTACAGGTGACTGGACACAAATATACATATACACATAGTGAATTAAAAGTAAATAAACACTGTGACAGAGGTTCGAAGAAAACATAAACATGCATTTATAAGGTGACTTAAGGATAAACCAACGCCATGCCAGAGGGTCATGCAGAACACAAACATTAAAAATTAAAAAGCCCAATCACTGAACATTATTAGCGGTATTGTGAAGCAGTTCCCAGGCCTTGTTTTAAAGCATTATGCAAATAGCGATTTATGTATGTCTTTAGCAATTATGTAAGCAGTAAGTGATTTTGGTTAAGCAACTTTATATTATTTTTTAAATTTTAAATTATTCTATATGCGGTAAGATAAAAGAAGTAATTAGTTTTAAAAAAGTCACATTAACTTTTGAATGGCTTTTATGAAAAAATATTTGTTACAAAAATTTGCAAAGATCATAATAATATAATTTCTGATAAAAAATATACAGGGCCAGATTTACACTTCTGGGGACGCTAGGATGGGTTATGAAATATATTTAAGTTTATTAAAATTAAAGTTAATGCTTGGGTTTAACTTAACTGTCAAATTTATTTAAAATATTACTAAATATTGTTCAATATTTAAATTTTATTTATTCTTAAAGAAAAATTAGCTCATTTTTATTGCAATTGTTTTTTCGGTTTTCCTTCCTTAACATTTTTTTTTTTACTCAAAATTAAGTTTTAAATAAATAGCTGCATCAAAAATTTACATAAAATGTAAGTTGAACTTTTTTATTCTATAATGCAAATTAAATCTCAATGATTATTTTTTAATAAACGATATATACAGCGATATAATTTTAATAAACGATGTTTGGAAAAATAATCTTTGCTTTCACGACAAAATCGTTAATAAAATAATAAACTTTTTAATTAAAATAATAAATAGAGTAAATAAATTAAAGTATTTTTTTATTTGTTACTCACTAATTTTTTTTAAATAAAATATCATTTGTAGTTGCAAAGCCGCAATTAGAAGTTTAAGAAATAATCATTTAAAAATTAAACATTTTAATTCATTTATGGACCATTCTCCAGAAAGTTTTTTTTTCAAATTAATACTATTTTTACTTTTAACTGGTACAACTAATAACTGTACAGCTTATACAATGTTAAACTGATGAAAACCAATCCAAAATAGTATTTTCAGTGAATAAATAATTTTCCTCAGTTTGTGGGAAGTCACGTCCGTAGAATGTTACCACCCAGACCTTTTGTTAATCCCAAGTAGTTCAACCCTTGATGCCAGTACTTTACTTTAATTTTCATACATAATAAATAATCAAATTAGAGTTGACATAATATTTTTCTCAAAGCGTTTTTAAAGTAACTTTTATGTGATTGAAGCTTATTTCACCAGCTCAATTGTCATGTCTGTGGATAGAGTTGTTAATTTAGTAAGAAGCTTTAGGAGGCAGCAATAGTGCTCTATGTCTCTGTACTAGCTGAACTATCAGACATTTTTTATTAATGAGTAAAAGTGAATGAAGTTTTGGTGTAGTTGTTTAGTGTTGATAAATGTTGTAGTTTTAAAAGTCAAATTTTTTAATGTTAGTGTGTCACATCTGTGGTAAACATACTCAGGGTAAATAATTTTATTTTTTTATAAGCAATATTTTTATTTACTAGTAATTACCTTGGCATGTTTAATCTAAGAGAAAAAGAATCCTAGCCTCAAAGTATAGCACTCCTTTTAGGCTTTCTCCTTTAATTTGTCATGTCTGTAGATGTTAAGTCTGTAGAGTAGATGTGGAACAGAGGTGACAACAAATGACAATTAGACCTGTATGTGAATTTTTTAACACCTAGTTATAGCATTTTTAACATTTTAAAACTTTCCTCATTTAGCCAATTAATCATTATAGAAAAGATAAATATTTACATCCAGACAGTTATGATTTTTTTTTTTACTTACAGTTTACAAAGATTGGAAAGATAGAAAAAACTAGAGACTTGAAAAAACTAAGTACGAGGAAGGGGAGGGAGAAGATGAAAGCTAAAAATCCAAACTAGTACGAAGAACAAAAACGAAAAGATAGAGAAAGTAAAAAAGCAACTCAGAAAAAAGTTCATAAATTTTCAGAAAGGGATAAAAAATCAATAAGAAGGTTGGAAAGAAAGGATCAAGAGAAGTTAGGAAATGAAAAAAAAGAGACAGCAACTTATTAAAAAATTTGTCTATAGCACATAAAAGTATAACTGCAATTATTCCTATCGACAATGAACTAGGCATCAATGTACTTCCTGGTCCCAGTAAAGAATCTAGTTCCAGAAAAAGAAGCAAAAAAAGGATTTTGCCAGGGTATTAAATGGAAAGATAATAAAGAAGTACAGACTTCAAAGAAGCTTCAACAATCTTACTTCTAGATATATCTTACCACACAACTTGAATCAGCCCTCAAATGTACTGAAACAACAAAAACTTAAAATGGAAGTAGAGAACTTTTTAGAAAAAGATTTAGTAGGCCTACTGCTGGGAAAAAATAAACAATAACAAGAAACTAAGTTAAAAAACCAAAAAGACTATTAAATAATACAATTGAAGTTGTGCAATGAGTTCTAACAAACATCTGAGTTCAAGTCAACGGAAAAGGTGCCCCTTATGGAATAGGTTGTATCAAAAGAACTGTAGACAGATTGATTGGGCAAGGGAAAGATATTCCTGATATTAATTATTTGGTCGAAGAAATAAAAGAAAAGTGTCCAAGTATCATCATTTACACTATTAACAACACAGATTTCAATCTCTACGAGAAATGTGTACCGGAAAACCTAACAACTTTCAAGGGGACTTTACAAGTTCATGAGGTGGTTTGGAGTTACACTAAAAAAGAAACCTTGTATATGAGAAGGCTGACATGCACTGGGTGTGACAATGGTACAAAATGCAATCATTATAGTAATGGAGAAGTACTAATCCCTGTGGAATTTTAGACAGATCTTTGTCCTCGTATCCTTTCAATGTACAGCACTTTGAAATTTAAATTTACTTTTATTGAATATCGCAAACTTTTGTGTTGCTAAATGTTCTCTAGTTACTTAGTAAAAATTTTTGATTATTATTTAGTTTTTCATTGAAATAAGTTCTGTATGAAATCTTTATTGTAAAATAGTTATTTAACTTGTTTCTGTTTTGTAAATAATTTTCTTTATCTGTGTTTTAAGAAATTCCTTAACATACTTTAGCAGATCAATGATCTTTGAAAATGAAGAAAAAGCCAGCTGAAGGAACAACATCCAAAGGTTTGGCTCAAGAATCCCAAGGTCCAAGTAAATTTGAAAATAAGTTGACAAGACTAAGTTACCACATTGTTTACAGTGATAGTGAGGAGGACAGCTTGTCTATTAAAATTAATGATTTTTTGATTGTGAAGTTTCAAACTTCAAAAAAAAAAATGTGAAATGCTATGTTGGGTTAATTCAAGCCTTAGTGGCAGATGAAAATGAGTTGGTCATAAAGTTTTTGAAAAGATACAGCCAGGAATTTTTTACATTTCCAGAGGAAGATGACATCTCTTTTATCTCTACATAAGGGTGATGTAGTGACTAGATTGTGACAGCCAAACCTAAACAACAGGGGGCAATATAGTTTCTCAAAAGTCTTACCATTCAAAAACATTTGCTAATTTACTTACTAATAATACTTAAAATTTTGTAAAACTTGTACCATGCACTATTTTATGTCAGCTATTAAAAACTATTGATTACAGATGATTATTATTTTCGTAAATTACCTGACAGACACATATACACTTATAGCTGTTACAGCATAAAGAGATACTATTCTTAACGTCATGTCTGTGGTAAATTTTTGATGTCTGTGGATTACGCTAAAATTTTTTAATTTTATTTTTGTAAACTGACATTTAACAAGCTGTGTGTATACTTCCAATTAATTAAATATACTCAAAGCTATAACAAAAAAAAAAATGATTTGAAAAATTTAATATTTAACTTTTATAAAATTAACTATTGAAATTGTTTTACTTTTCAGGAGAATGACTCTCATGCAAATGTCGAGAAAAGAAAGAAATTTGTTAATATTTTTAAAAATGTAATGTTAAATTTAATTATTTAATATTTAAAAAAAAAATAAAAGAAGATAAACATTTCCTTATAGTAATAATAAAATCAAGTTAAATAACATTTAACTCGTTTTGTGGTAATTAAAGTTGACACAGGTAAAATATAATAGTAAAACCAAAATTTTTAAAATTATATGATTTTAAAGTTATATTATTCTTCCATAATATAAACATATTATATACAGCATTTTCAAGATTTTGTCTTTTTAATGACCTTTTATTAGTTTTAGAATTTTGTTAGAAAATGTATTTTAGTTAGAACTAGCCTATATTATATTATGATTTATCAGCAGTTATCAACTTTTTTGACTCAGCCTATACTATGTTATGAATTATCATCATTTATCAACTTTTTTGACTTAAGTATATACATTATTTTTATAGATTGTAGTCGGATTAAATTAACTAATGACCTATGTACAAAAAAATCTACTTATGCTTGTTAAAATCCACTAAACTATTTGTCTGTTTACACAAATGGTTTGATCACTGTTTTATTTTTGCATATCTTTTCTATCATGTCATATAGGGAAAAATAATTTGCTTCTTGTGACATTCTGTTTTTAGAAACTTACGCACTTCAACATTAGACTTGTATACTGTTTGGAAACAACAAAATATTTTGTAAAGAAAATATTAAACATTATCCCATTTAATTACACTTGAAGGATCTTACTAAAAAATGAAGTTAGTTAACCAATCTGTTTTTTGAATTGACTTTTAAAATGAAAATACAAAAAGTTTGAGAACATTTGTATTTTATGGTATTTTAGCTTGTAAAATTTGTTTAAAGAAAATTTGAAGAAATTCTAATTTAATTTCCCAAATTGTTTAAATTTCACTAAAAATATATTATTATCATTTGAAAAAGTAAGAATTTCAAAACTTTCTGAAGTTACTTATGCAACTGAATTCAAACAAGTTCGGAAAAATGCACCAAGAAAACCATTAATTATTTTTGATTCTGTTACAATTCAAAATGATGTGAATCATTTAATGTGAATTTCTAATCCATACATTAAAATAAATGAACATTCAATTGATATGGATGATTTTCTAAGAATATAAAAATAGGATGCACAATATAATTCAATTTGTCATCAGTTCACCATTCTTTCTTAATATTAATGATAGTAATTTATAAATAATTTTATTAATGTTCAAATAAATTTGTTCTCATGATTACATTAAAAGTTACCTAAAGTACTCTAAGTTAATGAAAAAAAAGTCTTCAAAAATAATTGCTTTAAAAACTAATATTTTTTTAACCTTAAGTCATTTTGAATTTAGTTTAAATAAAAAAAAATTTATTTGAAAATAAATATGTAATAATAATAATTCAAAATAAATATGTAATAGTAATGTAAAAATATGTAACAAAAATAGATTTAAATGAGCTGTTACATCATATTACACTTGACATTTACCCAGTGAGCACAAGACATGCTTTAAATGTCTATAAAACATATTAATATTTAAATATGTTTTAGACGCCTTAAACTTGTTCTGTAATTTCAAAGTTTATATTCAATTTCATATTACATTCAACATTCAATATCAATTTGTATTCTTAAGTATCATCTAATATCTTAAGTTAGTATTATATTTTATTCATTCAAAATTTTATTGCATCCTTAAATTTCAGTATAAACCATTCTGTTGTAAATATCCTTGTTGATTTTATTTTATTTTATTTTTATTATTTATTTTATTATTTATTTTATTATTTATTTTATTATTTATTTTATTAGTTATTTTATTAGTTATTTTATTGTATTTTAGAGTTATTAGAGAGGTCAGCATCTGATGGATACAATTCATTTAATGAAGAAGGAAAACTGCAAACTACAATAAATTTATCTACAAGTTATAATATTATAGCGTCAGAACAGGCAGAACAAATTTGCAATACAACGTATCCCAAAAATATTACTGGCATGGCTCAGGAAACTCCAATAAAGTTATCAAATGAAGATACTTTTCTTTCATCTGATATTTTCATTAAGGATTTTAAACCTGTTAAAGTTGAACAAACAACTTTTTTAAATGATGCTGAAAAAACTGAAAAAAATACAAATGAAAAAGTTGAAAAGTTATTGAAGAAAAGGGTAAAAATAATCCCCAAGGTTTCATCAAGAAACTTATCTCGACCTGTTGATACTTTGAATTGTGAAATGGATCTAGAAAAAACTATTTTAAAAAGCGAGTTACAAAAAAATGATTTAAAAAAAATAATTGAACAACCTGCAGTTTCTAATGACAATATTTCAACTAATAAACCTTTATTTGTTAACAACAAGCCTGAAGAAATTCGTCCTGAGGGAGAGAAAAAATTAAATAAACGAACTAGAATAGTACCTAATATTTCTTTAGCGAATAAAACTAAAACTTTAGAACTTTCAACTAAACTTGAAACAAACTATTTTTCTGAGCTTGTTTTGAAATCAGAAAAATCTTCAGGAAATTTGTCTGATTTCGTTTCAAAGAATGAAAATTTAAATGAAGTTATTAATAGTCAATCAAAGTTTCCTGATACTCTTGTGGAAAAAAATGATCATTTGAATAATAAAGTTGTGAATGAATGTGATGTTACTGTTACAATAAAAAACAATAATTTGAATAATAAAGCTGTAAATGAATGTGATAATGATACTCTTGAGATGAAAAGTGATTATATGAGTAATAAAGTTGAGAATGAATTAAATACTGGTAAGTTAAAAAATAAAACCAATAATGTAGAAAACGTAGATGATTCAAATGAATTTTCTTCAATAAAAGTTCAGCTTATTGAAGCAGAGATGGTAATCAATTTGCCAGAAAAAATGGAAATAAAAGACAGTAAAAAGTTACTTACAAAAAGAATAAAAAGAGCTCCAACAGCTTGTTTAAGAAATAAATCTCAAAGCAAAGTTGATATTTCAATTACAAATGATGATGTAACTAAAAAAATATTTCTAAAAAGTCCAGAAAAAAGTATAATAGCTATTGAGCCTTTAAATGATGTTGCATCAAAAGATCTTGCATCAGAGGATGTTGCATCAAAGGATGTTGCATCAAAAGATCTTGCATCAAAGGATGTTGCATCAAAAGATCTTGCATCAAAAGATGTTGCAACAAAAGATGTTGCATCAAAAGATGTTTCATCAAAGGATATTGCATCCAAGGATGTTAACTCAAAGGATGTTGCTATTGATGTTGACTTTGATGTTGAAGGGCTTGTCGATCTTACTGTTCTTGAAGGACAAGACAAAAAAAAACATGTAAGATTTAATAGCCATACAAATTTTGAAGACCAATCACACAAAGCTAATAAAGAAGCAGAGAAAGAAAAAAATCAGAAAGATATAAATAATGAAACACATAGTGATTACAGTTCCCAGTCAGATGGAGAAGTCAGTTCTAAATTGTCTATTTCAGGGAAAAAAGTGTTTAAGCCAAATTTTGAAGTACAAAGACGAAAAAAGCGATTATCTTCATTTTCTGCATACTCCTCTTGTGATGAAGATGAAGATTCTTCAATAAAGAAAAAGAAAAAAAAGGTTTTAATTAAGTTTAAAAAAGTTAATGGAAAACATTTTTAATTGATTTTAAATTGAGAAATAAAAGTAATAAATAAAAAAGTTATAATTTATAATTTTTATATTTTTATATAACATATTTCTAATTAAAATTTTTAAATTGTTAAATAACATTTCAAATTTGTTCAAGCAGCTGTGGCACAGTGGTAAGACCTCTTGCTTTAGAAGCAAGAGATCCAGGGTTGGAAGCAAGCTCTAGGCATATTTTAGGCCATTGGTAGGGAAAGAGACATAAACATGTTAGTTAAATGCTCTTCCGCATTGTTTTGTGACAAGACAACCTGTCTTGTCACAGAGCAACAACATACATACTTACATACATACATACATACATACATACATACATACATACATACATACATACATACATACATACATACATACATACATACATACATATTTACATATTTCTTGGAACACCTAAAAAAAAATTAAAAATACATATTTAACATATATATCTAATTTTAATTTTTAAGTTGTTATATTATGTTATATATATCTAATTTCAATTTTTTAAGAAACAAGTTAAACTTGCAATATTATTGAGTTTGTTTTTTGTGCATTGTGAATTGCTACTTACCACAGATGCACAATGGGCTTAAATACACCAATAGATAATTTAGAAGACATCCTAATATTGTTGTATTTCACATCAAAATATAGATTTTTTGTAGTCAAGGAATCCATTTCTGCTTGCTTGCTACATGTTTTTAAATTCAACATTTAAGTTAACTTCCATGATTTCAGTGTGTTGCTTATTGAAACATGTTTTTTTTTAGTCAAGATTTTTTGGGAGTGCATGGGTTTTGGGAGAGCAGGAGGTTTTGGGAGATTAGGAGGTGTTGGGAGAGCAGGAGGTTAAAAAAATTATTTTATGTTATTATAATAAATTTTGTTTATAAGTATTTTTCTTCAATTATTTTTTTATACATTTTTTATAACTAAGTTTACTTGCAACAAATCCAATATAGTATTTTAAATATGTGAAAGTTGACATTTGGCAATATGAAATAATTTTTATATTCATTCTGAAGACTGTTGTAGCACGTTGTAGCAACCAATTTTTTTGTCATTTTTTTTAGCACAACATTTTGTGTTATTACAATCAGGTTAAAACATTAACAACATAAAAAATTTAGATTTTGGGCCAGGATTTTAGCTGTTGATTGGTAATGACTTTATCTCTTGGTATGTATGTACATTTTGGTTTTATTCTATTTCTAATCTCTGACACACTGATGGTGAGCTAAGTTCACAAAATAGTTAGTTTTTAGTTCTTATCTTATATAAAATGTAAATAATAATATGTCGTGTTGATTTACTTTTTGGCTTCTCAGATATTCAAAAATCCAAACATTTATTAATTTATATCAAAATTTGCAATAAAATCAAATCATAGTTAAATTTTACAATAAAACTTCAATTTCCATATTTTTTCAACATTTGGAATTATGTACAGAGCATCTTCATCTAATAGGATGGCATAGATGTACACCTGTGTTACATTATATCCTGCCTAAAATGATGAAATCTTCTTGACTCTACTCATTTGCTTGCACTACTTTTGTGTTTATGCAACTATTTCTACTATTAATAAAAATATAGCTCAAAAACTCATTTTAATGGTTTAACCGTAACTATAAGAAGTAACTTATAACTGTAACTTATAACTGTAAGAAGCATGTTAAAATGTGAAGCATGTTAAATTGTGTAAAGGGTGTTTAACATGATTCTCTGTGGAGCAGCCTTGTTTGTCAAAACTTGTGTTTTGGAGTTAAGAGCAGTTTCTACATACATACATACATACATACATACATACATACATACATACATACATACATACATACATACATACATACATACATACATACATACATACATTATGTAATACTAAAACATGAGTAAGCATAAAATAAACAGTAACAATTTCAATCATATAAGCAGCTGGCGTTTTAAAATATATGAAACATTTATGTTTGAAATTTTACATTTGTTAGGATTTTTTCTTTGCTTTTATATTAAAACAGTTTTTATGCTTGTTTTCAGAATAGATTTAATCATTCGGTTTTAGAAATTGACATTTGGGAGTAGTGATTGTCCGAAATTCTGTTTTGGTTTTGGCCAAAATTTGAATAAATAACAAAATTTTGGGTTTGGTACTTTTTATGAGTTTATTAGGAAACAAGACTTGGTTGAAAAACATACCAGAAACCAAAATTTAATTGTACGATTTAAAATTTTTATTTACTTTAAAGAAATTTTAAGCTTTTTTTGGGCAATTTCCACAAAATATTTTACCATTGCTAAAAGAAGTTTCAAGTCAATCTTTGGATTCATTGCTAAAAGAAGTTTCAAGTCAATCTTTGGATTCATTGCTAAAAGAAGTTTCAAGTCAATCTTTGGATTCATTGCTAAAAGAAGTTTCAAGACAATCTTTGGATTCATTGCTAAAAGAAGTTTCAAGTCAATCTTTGGATTCATTGCTAAAAGAAGTTTCAAGTCAATCTTTGGATTCATTGCTAAAAGAAGTTTCAAGTCAATCTTTGGATTCATTGCTAAAAGAAGTTTCAAGTCAATCTTTGGATTCATTGCTAAAAGAAGTTTCAAGTCAATCTTTGGATTCATTGCTAAAAGAAGTTTTAAGTCAATCTTTGGATTCATTGCTAAAAGAAGTTTCAAGTCAATCTTTGGATTCATTGCTAAAAGAAGTTTCAAGTCAATCTTTGGATTCATTGCTAAAAGAAGTTTCAAGTCAATCTTTGGATTCATTGCTAAAAGAAGTTTCAAGTCAATCTTTGGATTCATTGCTAAAAGAAGTTTCAAGTCAATCTTTGGATTCATTGCTAAAAGAAGTTTCAAGTCAATCTTTGGATTCATTGCTAAAAGAAGTTTCAAGTCAATCTTTGGATTCATTGCTAAAAGAAGTTTCAAGTCAATCTTTGGATTCATTGCTAAAAGAAGTTTCAAGTCAATCTTTGGATTCATTGCTAAAAGAAGTTTAAAGTCAATCTTTGGATTCATTGCTAAAAGAAGTTTCAAGTCAATCTTTGGATTCATTGCTAAAAGAAGTTTCAAGTCAATCTTTGGATTCATTGCTAAAAGAAGTTTTAAGTCAATCTTTGGATTCATTGCTAAAAGAAGTTTCAAGTCAATCTTTGGATTCATTGCTAAAAGAAGTTTCAAGTCAATCTTTGGATTCATTGCTAAAAGAAGTTTCAAGTCTTTGACAAATAGCATGTATCAATTTGATATTTTGATTCTTGCACATATTGTTTTGTTTAAAATAAATTTGGTTTAATAAGTTAAATAGAAAGTAAACAAGGATAATATTTCATGGATATAAGTTTTTATTTATTTTTATAAATTTTTCTATGAGAAATATTATTTTTCTTATCATTTATTTATGACTCATAATTTGTTATCTAAAATGGAAAGAAGTTGTCAAAAAACTTGGGTTTGGAAGCATTTTACAATCTCCGTTAGTGGCTACAATTAATTGTAATAATAAAATGGAAGTCTCACAGATGTGTAAATTTTTTAGAATTAGATCTCACAGATCTTATCTGTGAATTTTTTAAAATTAGATCTCACAGATCTTATCTGTGAATTTTTTAGAATTAGATCCCACAGATCTAATCTGTGAATTTTTAAGAATTAGATCTAATCCTAATCACAGATCTAATCCTAAAAAATTTCAGTTTTGGTTTTGGTAAAGTGTTTTGGTTAAGTGTTTTGGTAAAGTGTTTACCAGATGTCAGTTTCAGTTAAATAGTTTCTCCAAAATTTCGGTTTATTTTGGTTTCAGGGTATTTCCTGTTTTGTTCGATTCCTAATTAGGAGTGTGCAGTTTTTATAAATAATTTTCATCTCTTGTAAAATAACTATAATATCATTTGTTTTAAACAAGACGTTATTCATTTTAGTTTTTAAAAATTAGTTATTTTTAATTTTAGGTTTCAAAAAATAAGCCAAAGATAAGATCTAAAAAGGTAACATAGAGAACTTGGCTTGTGTTTCAACTATTTTTAACAAACTAAAAAATAACCCAGATAATCAAATCTGTTTGTATTTTTTAACAAACATGTTTTTTTTTTTTTTTTTGTCTAGACAGTAAATGGAATATCTTCATCTAACAAAGAACAAAAAGAACAAGAAAAAAAACAAAAAGGAGAGAATTTTTCTATTGAAAAAAATATGTCTGGTTTAACAATGCAAGAGTTGATTTCTTACAGACCAAAGAGGTAGTTTAATTATATTATTTATAGTGACATTTACAAACTAAATTTTTTTTTTTCAATTTTTTTTTCAAAAAGTTTTTTAAATTAACGGGTCACAACTAAAATTTTGCCCAAACTTTGGGATAATGTCAATAAAGATCTGCTTTGTGTATATTTTTAAAATTTTAACAGAATATACTCAAAAGCATTCTCTATTCAAATATATTTTTAAATAGTTCGTATGATTTGTAGTTCATTAAAATATCACGCTATAATGTATGAAGATCTAAAATCCATTTTGTATAAATACTATCAAAAAAACCATGGACTGGGGCAAAAACATATTTTTGATAAATTTATCAGCATGGGAGCTCCAAAAAGGACTTTAAATCATTGCCTTAGCATGCTGGAACAAAATAAAGTACTAACTAGGAAAAAAGGAAGCGGTCCTCCGACCACTATAGCGACTGCAAACAACATACGTAAGATGAAAAATTTCTTCAATCATCGGAAGGGCTGCTCACAGAAAAGAGTAGCTAGCAAGCTAAAAATGACTCAGCAATACGTTTTAAAGATGCTATTGCAAAGAACAAATATCAGATGTCTAAAACGCACCGTCAAACCAAAGATGACAGCCTTACAAGTCAAGTTAGCAAGGCCAAAGTGTGGACGACTTTTCCTCAAATTTCGTGATGTCGATTTTATTTTGGATGATGAATCGTACTTCACTCTTTCCAACACAACTTTGGCTGGCAATGACAGATTTTACTCAGATGATATTCAAAAGACTCCTACTGATGTGAAGAACAAAATGAAGGCAAAATACGAGTCAAAACTACTTGTTTGGGTGGCAGTTTCACCTCGAGGAATGAGTAGTGTCAAATTTTTCAAGTCTGGCCTGGCAATCAATCAATATATTTACCGTGACGAGTGTATACGAAAGAGGTTGATTCCTTTTATTAACAATTACTATAGGGATGGTAAATACGTATTCTGGCCCAATTTAGCTAGCTCCCACTATGCAAACTCAGTCCACGCCGACCTCAGAGACAAAAGAGTCGATTTTGTACAAAAACAAGACAACCCAGCAAACGTCCCGAAAGTCAGGCCAATTGAGGATTTTTGGGGATTTTTGAAGCAGAAAGTGTATGAGAAGGACTGGCAGGCTAAAACTATCACTCAACTCAAAGCTAGAGTCAGTCTTTGCCTTCGTAATTTGGACAAAGACCTTATACACCGCACCTTCAGCTCGGTACACAAAAGACTCGATTTTGTCAGAAGGAATGGAATCGAAAAACTTTAAAAGACATTTTTTCTAACACTTAAAATTGTTGTTTATAAAATGCAAAAAACCGTTTTAAAAAAAATTGTAAAATGACTGAGATATCTTGTTTTAAAAGTTGGGCAAAATTTTAGTTGTGACCCGTTATAAATATTTCTAAATTAATTATAAGTCTCATCTACCACTGCTATGTATAATTTTTTCTAACTATTTTTGATTTATTTGTCAAAATGGTTACAGTTTTTTGTTTTTGTGTTTGAACATAATTGTTATATTGTGTTTGAACGTATTTGTTATTTTGTGTTTGAACATAAGTATATTGAATGCATTCAAATATTTTTTTGAGTTATAAAAAATCTTCTTTTTACTTGTTATGCAAAGTCTGCACATCAAAAATCTTTTATTTTGTTATTACATGTTGAGTATTCTTTTCTTTGTTTGTTAGTTTATTACCTACTTTAAAATAGATGAGACTCCTTAGCCGTGGAAGTTCAACAAGGAGAAAAAAATAATGATATTTAATGTTTTATTAAGTAGCCCTGTTAAAGTTCTTAGAATTCTGTCAACACCTATATAACTAATAAAAAAAATAAAAAAAATTTATTAGTTATATAGGTGCTTATTTAATTGTGGGTAATATGAGCATGTAAACCTTAAATTTTAATCTTTCTATTTATAGAATCACAAATAGTATCTGCATAACAGAAAGATTTTATTGTTAAAAACAGCTTTAAATCTTCAGCGTCACATTTAATTTTTTTTTATGAACTGCAAGGACTCTTTTTTTTTCTTTTAATGTGCAACTCTCTCTTGACCTTAAACTCTGAAATACTTTTGTTAAACAAGGCTAGAAGACAAGTAGTCACAGTTTTTTTTTTAAGTTTTTTTTTTTTTTTTGTTAGTCTTTACAGATCATATTACAATACAGTTATTCAATATTAGCCTGTTATTTAATGAATAAATTTTAAGAAAAAATTAATTTATAAATTGCCTTACACTTTTCTGATAAGTTTTTAATATATTTTTTGAATATTTTAAAATGCATTTCCAGAGGTCAGGATAAATTGGATTAAAAATCAGTGTTTGAGTTGAATTAATCACTTATTATATCAGGAGAGGAAATATTGTACGAGTTCAAAGTCATGCTCCCATACAAAACTTCCAACATTTATTAGATTATCAAGAGATGTTTGCGAAAGCTCTGGAGGAATTTCAAACCATTTGTGGCATTTCAATGCAGAATTTAGCTCTAACGTTCTTTGATCCTTCAGTTTCAGACAAAGAAAAACAGGAAATGACAAACAAAGTCTTTAACTCAGGCTGAGGCTGAGACAGAGTAAATTTAAGAATTGTAATCCTATGTTTCGAAGAGATTAGTTGAAAAAACTTGTTAATGCAAGGTTATCTGGTTTAATTACTAAGTGGGTTAAGAATTTCTTTGAGCATTTCTAGACTAAATCAGATTTTCTCTGAGAAAATGCAGGAAAACAAGGAGTGAAATTAATTACAAATTTTAGTAACCTTCTCACCAAAAGATGACAAGCTGGACATGCTGCTTACAAATCCAATAATTAGCATGCCAGTTTTAGTCAAGTTCTTTATTTTCTTAAAGTATTTCTCAAAAAAATTATAACTATAGTTATTAAAATAAAAAATAACTTTTATTTTATATTTTTATATTTTTTTGTTTGTCTTATAAAATGGCTAAAAAGTGCTGTGTTGTTGCTTGAAGAAACGGTTACAAAAAGAAAAAAAAATGACGATACTGAATAGGGTTTTATAACTAAAACAGTATTCAATTTTCCCTCAGAAATAGATTTATGCTCCCGGTGGATCAAGATCATAAATAGAATTAATTGGAAACCATCTAAATTCTCTGGAATATGTATTGATCATTTTGAAAAAAAAATTTGCTAAACGAGGCAAACAAAATACGATAGACTTAATATAGATTCCTATTCCAACAATTAAAGTTTTTTAAAGTCTTTTTTACTACCTGCACCTTTAAGAAAGATTTCTACAAAAAGACCTTATTCTCATGCATTGCTAGATGAAACAGTGGTTTTCATAAAACATGGTAAAATTTGTTTTATCAATGAATTGGCAGAACAAATTTGTCCTCAAAGTTTTTTATTTAAGAAAATGTATGGTGGCATCGTTTATTATCATGTTTTTATTGAAAATATAGCATCATCATCTAACATTGAAAGCATTAATGTTGATACCAATCTTCATATTAAGTTATACCATAAAGGAAATTTAATACCTCTTCCCCAATGGTTTTGTCAAAACAATAAGTGTTCACTGACAAGTGTATAAATTTGAAATGAAAATTTAGTTTTTTATATGAGAAATTGATTTAAAGAAAAAAAAGATTTTAAGCGAATTTTATAGTTTTATGTATATCACATGGCAGAGAGTTATATTGTATATAAATCACATGACACAGATTTTTATGTATTATAAATCACATGGCAGAGAGTAATTAACTTATTCATTTTGCTTTAATGCACCTCTAAACAAGCCTACAACTTGTTATTAGATGAATTTCCTTTTTTTTTTTCATTTTCATATTTAAGAGCATTAACTAAAGGTGGAATTGAACCAATAGATCATCAAAATATTTATTAAAAAAAGATAAATAAGCTCAGTTTTGTTAATTGATGAAATGTAATTGCAAAAAAAGTGTTCAATATCATGGTGGTAAATTTATTAGAAAAGATGAGAATGGAGAATTTTATTTAGAAGTTGTAGTTTTTATATTGATTGGTATTGAACGTTCTATACTTTTTGTTGTTCAAGCATGTCCTGAAATTAATTAATGACTGAAATTGAAAATTGTCTAACAAATCTTTTTAATGTTAATTTTAAAATTCTCGCTATCATCTTAAACAACCATTCAACTAATACAGTTGTATTTAAAAAACTCTGTTTTTTAAATGCAACTGTATTGGTAAAAGTACAGCTCTATAGAGAACTCTTTTTTATTATTAAAAAATAAAATTTACACATTATTTGATAGTATACATATTTTAAAAATCCTCAGAAATAATCTATTACATTCAAAGAGGTTTATTTTACCAACATTCAATTATTTGTTGGCAGTTATTTCGCTTTTATTTTTATTTTCAGTTATGAAAAAGATAACTTACTGCCTGCTAATTTAAAGAAAGCTTTTAAACTTACTCCAACTGGTTTACATTAATTTAAAGAAAGCTTTTAAACTTACTCCAACTGGTTTACATTAATTTAAAGAAAGCTTTCAAACTTACTCCAACTGGTTTACATTAATTTAAAGAAAGCTTTCAAACTTACTCCAACTGGTTTACATTAATTTAAAGAAAGCTTTTAAACTTACTCCAACTGGTTTACATTAATTTTAAGAAAGCTTTTAAACTTACTCCAACTGGTTTACATTAATTTAAAGAAAGCTTTTAAACTTACTCCAACTGGTTTACATTAATTTAAAGAAAGCTTTTAAACTTACTCCAACTGGTTTACATTAATTTAAAGAAAGCTTTTAAACTTACTCCAACTGGTTTACATTAATTTAAAGAAAGCTTTTAAACTTACTCCAACTGGTTTACATTAATTTAAAGAAAGCTTTTAAACTTACTCCAACTGGTTTACATTAATTTAAAGAAAGCTTTTAAACTTACTCCAACTGGTTTACATTAATTTAAAGAAAGCTTTTAAACTTACTCCAACTGGTTTACATTAATTTAAAGAAAGCTTTTAAACTTACTCCAACTGGTTTACATTAATTTAAAGAAAGCTTTTAAACATACTCCAACTGGTTTACAATAATTTAAAGAAAGCTTTTAAACTCCAACTGGTTTACATTAAGGTAAAATAATATATTTTTATATATTTAATATATTACAAATATTTCATATCAACATATTCTATTATTAAAAGTTATTTTCCATAAGTACTGCTAATTTCCTATATTTAATATATACTCTGTGGACAATTTCATGTTCAAAGAATATATATAACACTAATAATAAAACATTATTGTTGTCTGAACTTTTAAATGCTTTAGCCCTATACATAAGTGAATGGTATAATAAAAATTTACAGGGATGTCACAAATTGTCTCTCTCAGCTCAGACATCAAATGCACTTATTGTCACATTAAAGGGAACTGTATATTTAATCAAAGATTTACTATCAAAAGGATATTATTACATTTTATCCAGCAGATTTTAATTTGATTCTCTTAAAAAACATTTTGGGAAACTTAGGCAGATGAGTGGTGAAAGGTTTCTAGTTATTTTGTGTGAAGTTCTGAAAAAATAATATCTAATTAAAGAGTCTCTAATTAAATTGTTATTCATGTTGCTGCGTATATAACAAAAAAATTTAAATATTCTTTGTGTTAAAATCTTCTTCAAACCAACAAAATATCTTCACTTTATATGGAAATACTCTCACGTAGCCGCTAAACTAAACCTAGTGAAACATGGTAGAGTATGTTTGCTCCTTATTTTACATATTAGGCATCACTAAAGAATTACTATTGACTAAATATACCGACAAATTGAAAAGTTCAGCTCTAGCTGTACTTAAACTGTTCAAAAATAACAATATTTTTATGTGTTCTGACCATTGTGTTCATTTAGAAATAGGAAGACAGTATATTTACACAACTGTTATTAAAATATTTTATAATAATGAACAATTAATTCACAAAGGAAAGATTCAAAAAGATGGATTAGAAGTCTTTAAAAATTAAATAAACTTATTTTATTTATTGTTTGCTATAAATGTTTGGATTCTGTATATTTAATTTTTGTTTCTATTTGCTTATCTATAGTCTTTTTTTTCTATAGGTAATTTATGGTGAAGTTTTGCTTTTGTATTTTTTATTAAAACTGTTTACTTTTTTTGATAAGTTATGTTTTTCCATAGCTGTATTTTTTTGCTTATATTTATTATATTTTTTTCAAGTTATATATTTCTTGGAATATATTTGCTTGCTTTAATATTTAGATAATATTAATTTTTCATTGTTAACATTATGAGATTAAATCCTAAAAACTGGCCTACTGTTTTTTGGACTTGTAAGCAATAAGTCATGTATTTAAGTAGGTCATGGTTTAACAAATAGTGCACAAATGCAAAATGCTGTATTTTGATGTTTCTAAAAACACTTTGGGCAAGCGTTTAGAATGAGTTATTTGTTTTTGTATTGTTCCTAAAGATGGCAAATGATAAATATTTATGTCACTCTCCTGTTCTGTTACTCTTGGGTGCTTAATACATGGGAGGGGACGCTTACTTACCACCTCCCCCCTCCTCTTCCTGTTTATTGATTTTTATTTGTTGTCATCAAAAAACAACATCTCAAAATAAAATAAAAATCAGTATATATATATATATATATATATATATATATATATATATATATATATATATATATATATATATATATATATATATATACATATATATATATATATATATATATATATATATATATATATATGTATATATATATGTATATATATATATATATATATATATATATATATATATATATATATATATATATATATATATATATATGTATATATATATATATATATATACACACATATATATATATATAGCTAAAAAAACAGTTTAAAATATCCTTTGCACCATTAGATATTCGTTTTGCTACATTTTTTTTTTAGTTTATCCCATAAAAGTTCGATAGGAGAGAGATCTGGTGATTGAGCAAGCAAAATCATTCTATACAATACATGGTCATTGTCTAATTCACTCAAGTAATTAATACAAAGTTTTGTAGAATGCTTTTAACTGTTACCTTCTTGAAAAATGAATGGCTCCCCATAAATTCGACCCAAAAGTATGGTATGACTTTTTAAAATGTCTAAATACACTTTTTTTTGCCATTATTCCCTATTATTCTATTCTGTATTTTTAAAACGTGATATTCCCTCCAAATCAGCCCCAAAAAATAATGCTACCCCCACCATGTTTCACAGTTGGCAAAACACATTGTTTTATCATCCATTCAGTGACTCTTCTTTGGAGAAACAATCTATTTTTGGAACAAAAGATTTGGAATTTTTCTCATTGGTGTAAAGAACATGTTTCCAGTCAATGATGGCCTATTTTTTTATTTGTCAAATCTCATTTTCTAGCCATTTAAAATATAAACAATTTATATCAAAATATACTACAGCAAAACTATAGCATAAAAAAATCTCTTTAAATAAAACTCTTAAAACTGATGAGCTGATACGTTGTTTGGCTGTAGAGGACATACAGATGTCAAGCTCACAAATTCTTATTCAATTGCTGCCTAGTATAAATGTTAGAGCCCCCACAGCCTACACCCCCACAGTTCATGTTATTATAAATGACCTTTTATGTTATTATAATGTTTTTACTCAAAGAAGATACTCAAAATCAGAGTATTTAGTGAATTAAAATAAAAATATAATCAAAAGAGTTTATCATTCACATGTTGCAAAAAAAGATACTTTATATATATATATATATATATATATATATATATATATAT